ACTGAGCCACCTTCCCAGCCCCTAGCCTTCATTTTTATCCTCCAGCCCCTCCTTATTTCCTAAAGATTGCACTAAAGGTCCAGAGAATTAGCTGGAATTATAGATTCCCTTATTTTCAGATAGTCATGAGGATGAAATTAATTCTATTCATAACAGATAGTGACATGCATCTCTGTGTGCCACCCTGTGAATGCAAAGGGACTTGAGCAGCCTTGGTCCTAGGTAGCCAAAGTGTTGTCAAGCACAGAAAGACCGCCACTTCCAGCCTGATGGAAAAGGGGACTAACAGCATCTCTGTTTTCCAATCTTTCCTCTCCTACCTGCCCACCATTCTATTGACCTCTTTGAGATGGCCTGGAAGGTGCTGAACCATCATGAAGAACTCCAAAGTCCTCTTGGGGGCATTAATAATCTCACCATCTTGGGCTGGGAATGCAAATGCTGTTCAGCCTCCTTTCAGGTAGGAACCCATAGATGTGAGAGATGAGGGCTTGGGCTGGAGGGTGAGGGGGATTTTGAGAAATTGTGCAATTGTGCTCAGGTACATCTATCTCTCCTTTGTATAACAACTACTTTAAAATATCCACAATCTTTATTCCTTCCTTGCTTTTTCCCTTCTTCCCTCCCTCTTTTCTTCCTTTCTTTTCTTTCTCTTTTTCTTCCTTCCAGTACTGGGGTCCTAGGTGCTGTCCCTTAGCTTTTTCTTTTTTTTTTGTCGGTTGTGGGGCTTGAACTCTGGGCTTGGGCGCTGTCCCTGCGCTCTTCAGCTCAAGGCGAGTGCTCTATTGCTTGAGCCACAGCACCACTTATGGTTTTCTAGTGGTTTATTGGAGATACGAGTCTCACGGACTTTCCTGCCCAGGATGGCTTTGAACTGCGATCCTCAGATCTCAGCCTCCTGAGTAACTAGGATTACAGGCGTGAGCCACTGGCGCCTGGCTCCCTTAGCTTTTTCCACACAAGGATAACTCCTGACAACTTGAACCACAGTTCCACTTCTGGCTCTTTGGTGGTTAACTGCAGGTAAGTCTCAGACTTTCTCACCTGGACTGGCTTCAAATTGCAATTTCAGAGCTTAGCCTCCTAAGTAGTTTAGGATTACAAGAGTGAGCCACTAGCACCTGGTCATTAGGTTTATTTTAAAATAATAATTATTGTGCTTGTGGCTAACACCTGTAATCCAAACTACTCAAGAGGCTGAAATCTGAGAATCACAGTTCAAAGCCAGCCCAGGCAGGAAAGTCTGTGAGACTTATCTCCACTAGCCACCAGAAAACCAGAAGTGGCGCTGTGGCTCAAGTGGTAGAGCACTTGCCTTGAGCTGAAGAGCTGAGGGACAGGGTCCAAGCCCAGAGTTCAAGCCCCACGACTGACCAAATAAAGAAATAAACCTAATGGTTTATATTGCTAAATTTTATTTAAAAAGCTGTGTGAACCAGGTGCTGATGATAGCTACTCAGAAGACTGAGATCTGAAGATTGTTGTTTGAAGCCAGCCCAGGCAAGAAAGTCCCTGAGACTCTAATCTCCACTTAACTACCAGAAAACCGAAAGTGGCACTGTGGCTCAAAGTTGTAGAGCACTATCCTTGAGTGGGAAAAGCTCAGGGGCAGTGCCCAGGCCCTGAGTTCAAGCCCCACAACAACCCAAATCAACAACAAAACCCCGTCAACAAAAAACAGCGTGTGGAGCTACAGGTAAGAGGATACTAAAGAAAAAAGAACAGAACATTTGTTTTAAAAGGAGATGAGGGGGGCTGGGAAGTTGGCTCAGTGGTAAAGCGCTTGCCTTGCATGCCTGAGGCCCTGGGTTCGATTCCTCAGCACCACATAAGCAAAAAGAAAAAAAGCCGGAAGTGGAGCTGTGGCTCAAGAGGTAGAGCGCTAGCCTTGAACTGAAGAGCTGAGGGACAGCGCCCAGGCCCAGAGTTCAGGCCCCATAACCGGACCCCCCCCAAAAAGAATTTAAAAAAATAAAAAAATAAAAGGAGATGAGGGGCTGGGAATGTGGCTTAGTGATAGAGTCTCACCTAGTCTGTATGAAGCTTTCGATTCCTCAGTACCATATGAACAGAATAAGCCAGAAGTGGTGTATGGCTCAAGTGGTAGAGTGCTAGCCTTGACCACAGAGAGGCTCAGGGACATTACCAGGCCCTGAGTTTAAGCCCTAGCACTGCAAAAAAAAAAAAGGCCCAGTGAGGTAGGTTGGGTGCATTAGCTAATGCTTATAATCCCAGTTACTTGGGGATAGGGAGGCTGGAGACAGGAGGATCAGACGCCAGCCCCTGGCAGAAATGGCAGACCCTGTTGGGCACTAGTGGCTTATACCTGTAATCCTAGCTTCTCAGGAAGTTGAGATCTGAGAGTCATGGTTCAAAGTCAGCTTGGGCATGAAAGTCCAAGAGACTCTTATCTCCAATTAAGGATCAAAAAGCTTAGAGCTGTGGCTCAAATGATAGGGCACTAGCCTTGAGCACTCAGGGACACCACCTAGGTCCTAAATTTAAGCCCCAGGACTAGCACCAAAAAACAAAACCAAAAAACCCCCAAAAATCCAAACCAAAAAACCCCCAAACAAACCCAACAAGTCAGATCCTACCTGAAAAAGAATAGTTGGGGATATGGCTTAAGTGGTAGACCATACAAACAAAGAATGTGACACTGCAGGATTCTAGAATTAGAAATAAAGTCAATATCCTTAAAATGAATTTGTTATAATTTGTCTTTAGATATAACAAATCCCTTCCAGTACATACATATACACACACACACACACATTGTCTAGTGGTTCTGTAAATCCCTTCCAGTACACACACACACACACACACACACACACACACACACACACACACACACACACACACACACACACACACACACACACACACACACTGTCTAGTGGTTCTGTTTCTCTGGGGAACCCAAAGTAGACAGACTGGGAACAGGTGGATAAGGTTTTCCTTGTTTGTTTCATTCTTCCTCCTACTCTGTCTCACCAGAATAGGGTCTGGCAAGATGCAGGGACTCAATTCAAAAGTTCCTATTTCTACAAATTAAATAAAAACACAATTAAAATTTAGTAGGTGCTAAAACTTGGTTTTGAAATTTTATTAAAAAAATATATTTGCAAACATATAAAATTTAGGATGAAAAATGCTCATTTTCAAACATGTAATAACTTAATATTTGCAAACATACACAGATGGTATAAAACCCATACCATTAAAAATGTTAATGATGCTGTATTGTGCTCATAGAATGAAAACCTTGCTGTCATTCCAGAGCTTCTTGTCTCCATGTTTCAGGGAGCTGAGAATCCGGCACAATGAAAGTCATGAGAGTCACATGGCCAAAGCAGTAATATGGAATAAAAGATTACTTTAAACATAGTTTAAAAACACATTTTCTAAGGGAAACACAACTTTGCATTCTTTCCCACTTCAAAGTGATCGACATTGCATTTTTACATTTTAAAGAAAGATGTCAAACCCAAATTGAAGCAAGACATTGCACACATTTCTCCTGCTGAAGTCTGCTGGGGAAAAAAAGGCTTCTTGAGGCCCTGGCCCACTCATGGAAGTGTTCTCAAGTGCAGCTTTAAAAAAAGTCTATTAAGCTGTTCTGCTTCGCCAGATCTTAATATTATAAATACTTGAAAACACATGACACTATTGGTTCCAGAAGGTACCCTGAATAGCACTGAAGAAAACCAAAGATTAGGCAAGAAACACATGCCCAACAGCAAATGTGCAGCAAGGGCCTGGGTTTGAGGCCTCCTCACCTACATGGGCAGAGCCCACTCCTGCCTGTGCTCATTTCATTCCTCTCCAAGTTACAGTATGATGGCTGATTTTGTTTATTAAGCAATTAGGCACCTTCGATTTCATGTTGCATTATTAGTAATACAATGGCAGTTATGGCCTCTTCTAACAAAGTAAGAAAATACCAAACTACATTCTTAGTGAGGAGAGAAAGCTGCATGATTTAAAATATTTACCTTGTAATGGATTCAATAAGAGTTTATAATTGCCACAAGAAAATAGAGGCCAGAAATAGAATGCTTAGTCATGCAAAACCTTGTCAGCCATATTCTAAACTAAGTCTGCATCCTCCTGTGGAGAAGGGCCCAGGATCTTGACTTAGGTTCTAAGAAAACCACCACTCTATCTAAGGGAAGCTGAGGGTGTCCTATATGGAGACCCCATGAAATGCTTCTCCTTACAGATGGTTACTTGAAAATTGAAGATTCAAAGTCAAGCAGGCCAATGTCCATGCCCATAAATTCTGGAAGATGCATCACAAAGTAGGAACAAAGCGGTTTGGAAGGTACTGGTGATGAGGGGCATGTGAATCTACTCAAAGGCATCACTCACATCTCACATTAACTACAGCAAAAAGAGCAATGCCCCCACCCCCGGGGCACCCCAGCCATACCATACTCCAAGCTGTGTGCTGCTCCTCCCAGAGCCTACACTTGGACCACAGGAGCAAAAGGTGTGGGCGATACTCACAGATGGACAGAGTGGACTAAATGCAGAACTCCAGAGGTGCTGTAAAACCTAGCAAGAAGCATCTCCATCTTGGCATCCATTTTAGAAGGTTCCAGTAAAGATACTGTAATAATGTAAACATGCAGCCTAAACTAGCATGAGGTTCTGGATAGTAAGCCTGAATGAGGAATAAGGCAACCAAATGTGACTTTCAGGCCAGGCCCATATAACTGCAACTATCCAGGCTTGGCCTGGTTCTCTGGAGACATGCTGGCCTGAACTTCTGGTAATCATGATCACCAACTTCTGGCTTCTGAATTTTAAGTAAATGCTTTGAATATATAGATTTGGGAGTTGAAACAGGTTGACCCTTTTCAAGTCTCCATTTCTTGGGCACTTAAAAAGCTTATGTCCACACTAAGGAAGTCTTATCATAGATTCTCTTTTAACTATTATATCCATCCCTAGAATTAAAGGGCAAAAATTAACAGATTTGATTATGGACCCTTTTTAGAATATTTGCTCTGTATCTCACATATTACCATACATATACAAAAGCATCATTTAACTTCAAATGTCCATTATACATCTCTTGATATGTCTGTTTACTGAAGCCTACTGAGACTATAGTTGGGTGTGATCAAACCTACTGGTATGTCATATTATGAGAACAGCCGCGTGGCCCCTTGGACACCATCTCCTGGCATCAGCCACACTCCTAATCTTACTACAACTTCATCTTTCCCAGATGATGCATGAGCAGTTCATTTTTGGTTGCTGAATTTACATACTATCTTTGAAAACAAACTATTCCTAGTTGAATATAACTTACAAGCTTCCCTGAATTCTGCACAATGGACATCTAACTAGGTAGACAACAAAAGAATATACTATATTGAGAAGCAGAAACATTGTTCAGGAAGCTTGCCCAGATTTACAGAAGCCAACCAAACAAGGTATTCTTTATGCTAAAAACCTAGGCCAAACTAAAACAAGTATGTAATTCATAAGTAATTTTCTAAAAATTCAGCTAGAAAGAAATCTATGGATTTACGACTGAGTTACCATTAAAGCTTAAATGATTGTTCCCGAGGAACCATCACATTTGTCAGCATTATTCACAGCTAATCCTTATGCTAGCTGGTTGAGCCAATTGGGTTTTTCCCCCATCATTAAATAGTGCTCAGAAAAGTAAGCAGTGCATCTTAATAGGTTAAATACTACAAAATGACCTGTATCATAGAAACAAAGACACTCATTCAAAGAATATCTTAAAATTACTATTGCTGAAATAAATCCAATTCTACATTAAAATCTTACTAAACATCATTACATGCCATAAAAGAATAAGTATAAATCATGGCAGATCAATAGCAGCATAACAAAGCGTCTTTATATATTTCACACTTTGGGCTGGGAAAGGATTCACAGCCTAGAAATACATTGGTAAAGTTCTGAATCTCACGCTTTCTTTTTAACTCCACATTCTACAAGAAAGTAAGGGCAGTGTGAATAACAGCTCCTTTTTCTGCATAGCTTTAAACTGTTTTCAGTACACTTGAGGAATGGAACCAAAATGGCTTTGTCAGGTTGGTCCACTGGTCCTTTTGTCAAAGTGTTAAGGAAAACAATTAACAATGACTTCTGTGTTTAGACAGAAAAGGAAAATAAGGCTGTGTTTCACACACAAACTTAACATTTTCAAAACCACTGGAGAGTGTAACTTAAAATGGAGATTTCTAGTAGGATCTGGGCATGTGCAGCCCCAGCCTCAAAGGTGTCACATGCCTCTTCCTACATCACCAAAGAGCCTCCTTGCAAGGCCCTGGTCAAATAGCAATGCTGCACTGGGGCCTACCACATGGCAAGACTGGGGATACTTAAAAACAAAACACAAGGAAATTTCAGTACTCTTAAGGCCCAAATGGGGGTGCTCATATAAAATATACTTCACTTGAACAAATAATTCCTAATTCATCAACCTGAACTCTGATCCTTAAAAGTGAAGCTACTTTGCAGAGCTAGCTCTTGCTTAGTTTGGAACTTGACCATCAGCCAGGGTTTCTAGGGGTGGGAGGAGGGAGGGCTGCTGCTGAGGCTGAGCTTGGCTTCGAGGCTGGTGACCACTCTCCCCAAGTCCTTGAAGGTGAAAACAAACTGAAAAGTCAGACTCCTTATGTCACACATGTGCTCACAGCTGATGAAAACACCCAGAGGACATAACGATCTTTTTTGTTTTTGTCAAAACAAAGGTCTGCTGGTGATGCTTCACAGTGAAACCTCCATTATCACTGAGAATGTCACTTGGAAAACATTCAAAGGCGTGAGTCTCTTTCTCATAGGCTCAATTTCAGGATTCTCAAAACTCCATGTTCCACTCAGAGACAGGTTTCCATAATGAAGCCTATTTGTGGGGCTGACTCTTGCCTCCAGGTCTACTCCATGGCAGTCATAGGTTGTGGTTGTCTTTGTTCTTGTTCAGAACCTGCAAGTAAACTTCATGAAGTGTACTAAGGAAGCTGGAATCATTCTGGAAGAGATAGCAAAGGTAAAAACACATCATTTCACATTTATTTGTTCAGAGCCCACTTCCTTAGTTGGTAACAGCTTAGGAAAAGATTGTACAAATGATCGGTAAGGCTTATAACCAATTACTTAAATAGTCTCACCACTCAGAGCTACTCATCAACATCCTGGAATCTACTCAGTTATTATTCTATTAGGAACAAATGCTTGGAGGATAAAAACATTACTCTCAGCTATTCTGAATTTATAAGGACTTATAAAATTAATTTTCTTTTATTAAAGAATTAGAGAACCCAGAGTAATTGATGTCTTACATACCTTTATTAGATGTATTAATGTATCCTGGAGCTGAGACTTGCTGAGAATAATGGAAGGCTTTTTCTGATTTTCTGGAGTTGTAACGGTGAGGGGAGATGGGGGGCCTGTTTTCCTCTCAAGGTCTGCAGACCTTGGAGCTGTGTTCTGGAAAACACTTGGGGCCAGCAAGACTGAAGCTACTGCAGTAGTTGTTGCGGTAACCAATGGAGGGCCTGCAACCTGAAGGGGAACAATGTCATTCCTCACCCAAGGGTAGAAGCTGGGGGCCCCATAGCCCCCATCTGCTTTTATATGTCACCTCATAATTTACAAATAGCAAACAGCTTGCCAGCTTACTTTATAAACTTAACTTATAGGTTGGGGATATAGTTCAGTGACAGGACACTTGCCTACGGCCTGGGTTTGATCCTTAATACTGCAAAAAGTCTAGCTATATGATTAAAGCAACAACAACAAAACCCCAACTACCTCCTTTCTTCCTTCAGATGTGCTTCTATCTAGTTATACTCAATAACAAGATTACAATATATTAGTAATATGAAATTTAAAATATTTCTCACATTTTCTTGACTTTTGTATTTTGGGTACTCGAAACTGAACTCAAGGCCTAAAGCATGCTAAATATGTGCTATACCAGGGAACTTCACCAGCAGTGCTTTTGCTCTTACAAAGAGCTTGCCAGAGTTTTAAGGCTGTGTTTTCTGGCATCTAAGCCATTTAGCCTGGTTTTTGGCACAAAACCATGCTAAGAGCTATTGATCATGTGAAAACATGACAAGCTAATCAAGATCAGGCTGACTTTAAATTCTGAGCCCCAAGGAGAGGTGTAAAGGCTCAAAGCAAATGGGAATTTGACATGTGAGGAAGAAAAAAAAGAATATGCATTTTGGGGCTGGGAATATGGCTTAGTGGTAGAGTGCTTGCCTACCATCCATAAAACCCTGGGATCGATTCCTCAGTACTACATAAACAGAAAAAAGCTGGAAAGTGGCACTGTGGCTCAAGTGGTAGAGTGCTAGCCTTTAGCATAAAACTCAGGGACAGTGCCCAGGCTCTGAGTTCAAGCCCCATGACTGGCAAAAAAAAAAAAAAAGAACAGAAGAATATGCATTTCAAAGCTGGTGATAAAGAATGAGGTTGGGGCTGGCTCATGCTCCCAGCTGGCTCCCGGCTACTTAGGAAATGGAGATTGGGAAGATCAAGGTTCCTAGCCAGCCAAGGCACACAGCAAGATCCCAACAAGCTGGGTATGGTGGTACTTGCTTGTAATCCTAGCTATGCAGGAGGTGTACATAAAAGGATTATAGTTTGAGAATGACCTGAGGGAGAAAAAGGATGAATCTCTGAGAAAAAACAAAGGAAAAAGGTATGAGGGCATGGCCCTACGTGGTGAGAATACGAGCAAATGTGAGACCCCCAAGTTCAAACTGCAGTACTGACCAAAAAACAAAGAAACCAAAAAAAAACACAGGGTGAGAGTCAGGGAGGATAAACAAGGGATGAAGAACACACAGACCCGGAGGCTTTATATCAGAGTAACAGGAAATGAGAGGCTTGTGGCTGTGTTCCCTGGGATACCATAGCTCTTCCAGAACAGTACTATCTTCTTAAGAATTCAGGCTGACATACTCTTGGCCATCTACTTAAAAGGGCCAAGCAAAAGCCTACCCAGGACTGTTCTGACCTCCATTTGATTAGGGAAGAGATCATAGGAGAGGACATGAGGCTTGGTCTAGGTGATGTATCAAAGATGGGTTAGGGCGTGAAAGATAAAAATTTCACCTTGCATGTAAGAAAAACAAGAAATCCTCAATGTACTCTTGAGAAAAAGGGGATCCTTACCGGGATGGCACTGGACAACACCTTGGGTTGGGCAAATACTTCAGGATCCTGGTTTTGCTGCATAGACTGCAAGGTTTAATAAGAAAAGATGAACAGATATACCAAGTTTCAGTTAGTTAGTGGTGAGAAATCAAGAATGGTTCACACATTTAGCTATTGGATTGCTGGGGGAAGAGGCTCACAGGAACTTGTCACAGTGTGATCAGTGACTCTTGCTGTAGAGACAACAAGAACCTCAAACAGCTCTCCTATTGAGGTCCCCTCAGAAAAGGCATGCAGTCAGATCCTTTTACATGTCTTAAAAAAAAAAAAAGGTGATGCCAGGAATGGTGATGCATGCCTGTAATCACAGCTACTTAACTCAGGAGGTAGAGTGGGAGGGTTTTGGCTCAAGGGCAGCCCAGGTGAAAAAGTTAGCACAGTTATTTCGAACAGTAAGCTGGGTGTGATGGTACATGCTTATAATCCCAGTTTATAAAAAGGGGGACATAGATAGGAGGAGCCTGGTCTGAAGCTAGCCCTGGAAAATTATGAAACTGTAGCAAAAAACAAAAAACAAAACAAAAAACAAAAACAAAACAAAATACAAAAACAAAGCTGGGACCTGTATCTCACGTAAGAATATAATTGTTGGGGACAGCTCAGGCCTGTTTCTGCTGCAGTATGTAGATTAGAGACCTTGGGGAGCTAATGCTCCCCCCACCCTGCTAGCTTCCTAAGGTCCCAAATGCTCTCCTATCTCCAGGCCTCTGTACACTATTCTCTTGGTCTCAAATAGTTTTCAACTCTGAACAGTGTAGCTAACTTCTGAGTCTCTTGAGTAGCAGCTGACATGTCAGTTTTACTAGAAAGCTTTATTTGCCCTATACCTTCAGATTTGGGGTGCTGGCACTTGACAAGTACTGAAGGAGGTGCAAATGGATCTAAGCCCAGAAAGATTTGGATCTATGGCCAACTGAGGACTCCTGGGACTCTTAGGCAAAAATACAAAGAACCTTTAAATATGGTGTCTTATTATTTTAAATCAGTTGAACTAATTTTGGGAAGCAGAATAGAGTGACAGCACCACTGACTAATTATGATTAGTTCACAAAGGGCTTGTTACCACCTCTTTCTCCTAGCCTTGATATTTTTTCCTCCCTGGTCCTGGGGCCTGAATTCTGTTGCCTGGACACTGTCTCTAAGCCTCTTTGTGCTCAAGACTAATGCTCTACCACTTGAGCCACAGCCACTTCCAGCTCTTTCTGAGTGAGTGGTTTATTGGGTATGAGTTTCATGAACTTCTCTGCCTGGGCTGGCTTCAAACTGTGATCCTCAGATCTCAGCATCTTGAGTAGCCAGGATTATAGGTATGAGCCACTGACTCCCACCTCTTTATAACTACTCTGTCTCACATCAATCAAAAGCAAAATCTTGCTGAACACCAGTAGCTCACATCTAGCCACTCAGGAGGCTGAGATCTGAGGATTGTGGTTCAAAGCCAGCCCAGGCAAACAACACCCCGTGACTCAGGCTCAGGGATGGCACCCAGACCCTGAGTTTAAGCCCCACAACCGACAAAAAAAAAAAAAAAAAGCAAAATCTTTGTTTCCCCTACCCATGCCTTCCTGTTTCTGCCATTACCTGGAGGGGAGCAAGCACCATGTTGCTCAGGGAGGCTGGGGCTGCTGTTCTTGCTGCTGCTGCCTTACAGGGAGGCTCTATGAAGCTGTCAGGTGTGGCCAGCTGGCCAGCTGCTGGAGAAAAGCTGGGTGCCACTGCACCTTTCCCAAGTGGCTGTGTTGGTATTTGGTCGTGCTGTGGGGTCAACCTGAGTTTCTGGAGAAGATCAATGCTTGGGAGGGATGTAGCAGCCGTGTTTGTCATGCTCCGCGGAGCTCTGAAAGGGCTTTTGCTGGCTATTAGACTGGTGTGGCTTAGTTCAGGGACTGGCTGGTTCAGGAGTGGAGACCTCTGTCTAGGTGTAGTCTTCACTGCCTGCATCATGGTGCTGTTTCGAGGTAAGCTGGGGGGAACCTGTGTAGTGGGAACTTCTGCTGGTAGAGTGGGACTGAGAACAGGACTCAAGGGGATGCCGTAGCTCGGGGCATGCTTTTCACTGGATTGTGTGATGGAAGCTGGAGTGATCAGCACCGGAGTGGTGACTTCAGGCTGGACAGCATGGTGGGTGGCTGAATGGACACCCAGGCTTTCTGACTGAGGGGCTCCTCCTGACTGATCAAAGGGAAATGGGAGGAAGGAGCTAGGCTCTTTCTGGGATGTGTCTTCTGGTAGTTTCTCCACTTCTTCTGAATCTAGACCCACAACTGCTGGCTGTTCCTTTGGTAAAGATGTTCCAAACAGCTCTTCCACTGTCAGATGTTTATGTCCAGATGCAGCAGGCTGAAAAACAATGACCACCAATGAAAAGAACTTCTGTGGACTTGTATAACCAAACTTATTTTCCATCAACCAAAATAGTTTGCAGAAGCAAGGGCAGATGGAGACTTAAAATAAGGAATGGAATAGAATGGAGATATGCCAGGGTTAGATCAGAATATACCTGTCTCTCCAGACTGGTGAATGGAAATATGCACTAATGATAAATTCAAATTTTTGGGCCTCTAGGCAATAGTGTTAGAATGCCTTTTCCCCCTGGTATATGTTGAAATAATTATGTCCAATTGCTCCATGTCAGCAACATGCAAAGGGGGAATGATGTTAAAGAGGATAGTGACTGGGTTCTACTCAAGTGGTTTATTTTTGATAAAAGCTAGTATTGCACCTCAGGGACTGACTAGGTCCTAAATACCAGGAAATATATTTAACCATTTAATAGCATGTCTTCCCCACTCTGTACTGTCAAGTCACAGAATCTTCAAGAAAAACCAAGAAGTATGGCTTAAATGCTCTAGCACCTGCTTAACAAGCACAAGGTCTTGAGCTCAAATACCAGTACCAATACAAATGAAGAAAAACCAAACTGCCAAGTTAAAATTTAAATACAGTTTAGTGAATTGACTTACCAACACTATTGCAACTATTCAAAGGGGGAAAACACACTTTCCATGGGGTGCTTCTTTGTACCTTTAGGTAGTATTGTTGGGCCACTTAACTTTTATATCTGAGTACTCACAGGATTTTTAAGTCCTGTTCTGACTTGAACTTAAGGGACATAAGCAGAGAGTAAGAGTCTTCACTGAGCTTCCTTTAGTGTGACACATTAATGAACTAAGTACTTTGAAAACACAAGCAGTGGGGCTGGGAAGGTGGCTCAGTGATAGAGCACTTGCCTTGCATGCATGAGGCCCTGGGTTCGATTCCTCAGCTCCACATAAGCAAAAAAAAAAAAACAAAACCCCAAAAAACAAAAAAAAAACACAAGCAGTTAAGTTACAGTTTTATTCTTAAAATGTGTGATTAGTTTAGTTGCTAAGATAGAGTGAAATAATTAATTCATGGAGACACATGACTTTCATGGCTAAAGCACACTGCACTTGCATATCATAGTGACGCCACTGTAGTATGACCTTTCTATAGGACTGCATTTTTTTTTTTTGTCGGTTGTAGGGCTCAAACTCTGGGCACTGTCCCTGAGCCTGTTTGTTCAATACTAGTTCTCTACCACAGCACCGCTGGGGTTTTTCTACCCGGCTGGCTTCAAGCTGTGATCCTCAAATCTCGGCCTCCTGATGATAGAATGAAAGGTATAAGCCACGGGCACCTAGCTAGGATTACAATTTTCCAGGGTTTTTGTAAAGTATTTGTTTCATGTAGCTGTACACTCTGGTGTCTACATAAAGAACAGATTGGAAGGATGAAATTACAGACTTCTGAATTTAAGACTGGCAGAGAAGATGAGAAATGAGGAGTTAGAAAGGTAGGAGTCAGGGGCTGGGAAGGTAGCTCAGTGGTAGAGCGCTTGCCTTGCATGCCTGAGGCCCTGGGTTTGATTCCTCAGCACCACATAAGCAAAAAGAAAAAAGCCAGGAGTGGCGCTGTGGCTCAAGTGGTAGAGTGCTAGCCTTGAGCTGAAGAGCTGAGGGACAGCGCCCAGGCCCAGAGTTCAGGCCCCACGACTGGACCTTCCCTCACCCCCCTCCACCCCCCAAAAAAGAAAGAAAGAAAGAAAGGCAAGAGTCAGTGGCTGGCTGGCCAGCCAGCCCAGTAGAGTATAGAGTATAGTTAAGAGGATACCTGGCCAGGTACCAATAGCTAGGATTGTATAGGTATAGTTTTTGTGTAAAAAAGTTCAAAGAGGATACCCTGGTACCTGGGTGGGAGTGCCACTTACTTGGGCAGGTAAGCTCAGAAAAGGTCCCAAAGAGGAGGATGTGAATGTATGTATGTGCCTGCGCGTGTGCGCGTGCGTGCGTGTGTGTGTGTGTGTGTGTGTGTGTGTGTGTGTGTGTGTGTATAAAGTGAGCTCTCCAGAGGTATTGACTTGGAAGTTATCAAAAGTGTTAATGTAAGTCGGGGAACAAATCTCCCTCAGCAAGGACAGGCCTCCAGCAACATTGCTGTTACCAGGCTCTTTTTCTTTTCTTTTCTTTCTCTCCCTCCTTCTCTTCCTTTTTTTGCTGGTCCTAGAGCTTGAACTCTGGGCCTGGGCGCGGTCTCTGAGCTTTTTTTGCTCAAGGCTAGCACTCTTACCACTTGAGCCACACACTGCCACTTTCAGCTTTTTCTGAGTAGTTTATTGGAGATAAAAGCCTCAAGGACTTTCCTGCCCCAGCTAGCTTTAAACTGTGACCCTCAGGGGCTGGGAAGGTGAGGCCCTGGGTTCGATTCCTCAGCACCACATAAGCAAAAAGAAAAAAGCCGGAAGTGGCACTGTGGCTCAAGTGGTAGAGGGCTAGCCTTGAGCTGAAGAGCTGAGGGACAGCGCCCAGGCCCAGAGTTCAGGCCCCACAACCAGACCCCCCTCAAAAATAAAAATAAAAAAACCCTCAGATCTCAGCTTCCTAAGTAGCTAGGATTATAGGCATAAGCTACTGGCACCCAGTTCTGCTCCTTTCGTATGATGCAGCCTAGGGAGCCATTCATTTCTGAGTCTTAGTAACTCTTTGAAGTTGGAAGGGATGGTGGGAGGCAGAAATGCATGGAACTCAGCTCACAGGGGAACGTTTAAAGTTAGTATTTCTAGTAACCAAAGTGCAAGGTGGGTTCCTCAAAGGCAGAGGCTCTTTCTCATTCATTTCCTAATCCTTGCCCTCCATCCTCCTGGGTTCATCTATCTATACAATGGCGCCACCATCCAGTTAGTAGAGTATAGGCTTCACCCTGCTGTTCCCAAGTCCTCCCAAGAGGGAAGACAGCACTAGGAGAGAGCTCACTAATAGCAGACCCTGTCGGTAGAGAATGAGGAATTCCCTCCTTCAACAAAAAAACCCAGTGCCCACGACTGAAGATCCAGGAAAGTTTGTGAGTGGCAGTATAAGGGAGTACCATTTTATATTTTCTCTTTGATGTGTGGTGTCATGTTATGTTAGAGGTGACAAGGCAGGTTTGAGCAGAAGCAGTGTGAAGTAACTGCTATGGATGAAGAGGCAGAGCTTCCGCCAGTAGTATTAACTCTAGTTTTAGACCAGATCATTTTGTCTTACAAAAGAATAAGGAAAAAGAATCCTGTAATATCCAGGCCCCCACTGTGTAACACTGGTGTGGCTACCTGTCAACACTTCCTAGTATTTTAAAAGAGGAGTTTCCAGATTCAGAACCTCAACTGTTTATAAATGCTCAAGAATTTATGTGATTCAAGTCCTTCATATATTTTTGCTTCTGAAAAAACTGTAGAGCTCAGGGTCTAAAAATCAAAGATATCTGTTAACTCTGGAAAAATTTTATAATCTTCCTAATTACTCATCTACAAAATGGGGTAACTGTGGCAATTATTTCACAGAGCTGTTATGAATTTAAATTATCCCTATGTTTGGTACCCATGAGCTTTTGATAAACTCAAATTGACCTACGCTATAGTCACAAATATGTTTTTTTGGTTGTGGTGGTGTTAGGATCAAACCAATGGTCTCAATTAACTACATAATCACTCTACCACTGAGCTACAGTCCCAGCCCAAACACAGAATAGTTCTAAGAGCAACCATGATACATCTGTTTGGATGCTTTTAAAGAACACCGAATACTCTTTTGACATAATAGAAATTCACTGACTCCTTATGGAATATCACTCCTATAATGTAAAATAACAACACAGTCACCAGATGAGACAGAAAAGCTGTGCTATCATAAACCTGTTTGTTCTTTCACAAGGGATCATTAGGGACAGTTTTTTTTTTTCATTAAAAATTCCCTTGTAACATTGCAAACTCATTTAAGTAAAACCAGACAATGTATTTCTCTTTGAGATAGGTTCTGTTTGTCACGGTCAACACTGTGACTTGATTCCTGGTATCCTAAATGTCTGTTGATGGAACAAATTCTCTCCCCTCCCCTCGCCGCCCCCTGCCCTGTATCCCTTTTAGTGCCAGTACTGTGCCTTGAATTCAGGGCTTGGGCGCTGTCCTGGAGCTTTGTTGCTCAAGGCTAGTGTTCTATTACTTGTGTCATAGCTCTACTTCTGGCATTTGGTGGTTAACTGGAGATTAGTCTCACAGACTTTCTGGCTTGGGCTGTGTTGAATAGGGCTCTGGTGGCTTACTCCCATATTCCTACCAACTGCGGAGTTTGAGATCTGAGGATTAGAGTTCAAAACTAGCCTGGGCAAGAAAGCCCATGAGACTCCTATTTCCAACTACCCCCCCCCCCCCGCCCCCCCTCCCCGCCCCGCCACACACACAGAAAAGAAAAAAAAAGATGAAGTGGAGCTGTGGCTCAAGTGTTAGAATGCCACCCTTGAGCAAAAAAGCCTCAGGGACAGTATTCAGGGACTGAGTTCAAGCCACAGTATCTGCACAAAAATCAAACAACACAACTCTGGTAGACTACTCAGGAAGCTGAAATCTGGGGATCATGGTTAAGAACTAGCCTAGGCAGGCAAATCTGAGACTCTGATCTCCAATTAACCAGCAAAAATCCAGAACTGCAGGCATGGCTCAAAAGGAGAGTAAGAGCTATGAGCAAAAAAGCTGACTGTGAGGCCCTGAGTTTAAGCATGCAAAAACCTAACTAATAAACAAAATGTCTGTGGTAGTGTCAGGCATAGTAACACTTCTGCATAGTCCCAACTACTTGGAAGGCTGAGGAAGGAGCATAATTTGAGCCCAAGAATGTAAGAGGCTAACCTGGGTGACATGGCAAGACTTTATTCTCTGGGGGTGAAGGAAGGTAGTAAAAGTGGTAAAAAAAAACACATAAAACTACATTTAAGCATAAAAGTTCAATAGTATTCTGTATATTTACCATGTTGTATTACCATTACCATGATCATTTCTGCAACTTTTC